ATTATGATTAATCATAAAAGCAATAAAGCATAAGATTGTACTTACACTTTGAGGTCCTTCCATTTCAATCAAGTCATCACTATTGGAAATTACACCAACTCCACCCTGCAGTAGATTAATTAACTAATTAATAAGAATCTTTAACACCTGTGTTTAGCTTTCTGCCTTTCTCAAAAAGAATAAGAAAGAAAGAAAGAAAGAAAGATTTGAAAATGAGAATTGAGTTTCATTTATCATGAAAGGAATAAGCCAACTGCTATTTAAACATTTGCTGCAATAAGAAGTTATTCATCCCCTCGAAGGTGGTATTTGTTCTCAAGATATCCAAAATAAGCATGAGATAATTACCTCATAGTCCTGGCCAGAAGCCCCCACTTTGATAATATCATCTTCTGGCATGTAAAATTTAACAGGATAAGAATATTTGCATTGATAACATGCAATACCATACTAAAATCTAATAATTATTAATTTCTTACTAGAGTGAATCTGTGAAGCATCAATGCTTTGTGCACTAAAAGCAATTAAGGTGTTGAAACTTTAACATTGATAACATAAATGTATGCTGTTGTCCTATACCTTCAGCATCAGCATCAACGTCAATTGGTCCAATGCTGATTTCACTGTTTCGAGACTTTGCACCTTGTGCCACTAGGAATGAAGATCCAAAAGAACAAAAGTCTTAGTTTTACAGATAAGATATTGACAAGTCAATCGAAGGACATAATTAAAAGAATTGGAAAGATAAAAATTAATGATATTAATACCAAAATAAAGTCTTCAATATGCTACAAGAATGCAAACGCCTTATTCAAGCGACAGTATGTATTGTACTCTATGGCGATGGCAGAAATGGTATATGAGGCAAGAATATAGACAGAACTAACAACCTTAAAGGGAAATAGATTACAATTGGGACAAGCAATAAATGCAATAGAAAATAAAAGGCTATTGCTACTTGCCACTAAATTATAAAATTCTAGAAAAATAGAACTGCACAGAAAAGAAAGAAAAGAAAGGCGTGGAAAGAGAAACATTCCACTCCTTGAGAAAGAGAACATCCAGTTCCTTGATTTTCTTCAAGCAGTACATGCAAGAACAAAAGAATAATGCTACAATAGAGAATATGACTTAACATTGCATTCTGCATAACAGGCCTGGAAAGTGGAGAAAAACAATAATACTAAGACTATATTAATAGAAATAATGGGGGGAAAAAATGAAAAAATATGAACTATCCATTAGCTATGCCTTTCTTTGGTCAAAGGGCAAGTGGTTAGAGATCAAACAAGACAATATCCATACATAAAAGGATGCAAAACATAAAGAAAGAAAGAATGCAAATGGCACCAAAAAGTTAAAACCCACACTGATATCGCACCACTTTAGCATCATGTTCAATTGGTCTGTTGCTAATACCCTTTTGTCGAGTCTTGCTACCTTGGGCAACTGCAAGCAAATAGGACAGAAGAATACATGGATGAGGGGGTAAAGCAAGAATGCCAAGCCTAATCCATATGCCAAGAATGCAAAACACTGAAAAGGAAAGTGGAACTACAGATAATTAGCAGATTAGGTAAAGTGCAAAGAGATCAATTCGAGATCAAAACATAAACAAAAGCTAGAAAAAGATGACAACAAATTAAAATCCTACATCCCAAGCATCAAGATCAATTGGTCAATTCTTGAGTTCTTTTGAGTTTTGATACCACATGTGACTACCAAAGGACAAAGTAAAGAATTAGAGATTTATATTTGACACAAATAAATAATGGCTAAAAGAAAAAAGAAATACATTTTGACACCAAAAACACACATGCAAGAAAACAAATCCAATATCGTGCAGCATATAGATAAATCAGAAAAAAATAAACTCAAGAGTCAACACAACTTCACTGGAAAACTCTATTTGCATCCTCAATTATTCACTCAATTAGTCTCTATCTATTACTATTAGTACAATTACTATTATAAAGAACACAGGGATTGTCCCCAATGAGAATAGAAAAAATGAAAAAATAGAGAAATCAAGAAAAGGATTGTCTTGCAGGTTCAGCCTCAAGATTAATTGGCCCATCATTAATTTCCTTTTCTTGGCTTTTAGTAGCACAAACTACCACAAAAAAGAGAGAAGAGGATTGGAGATCTCATTTAACATTGTAATGAAAATTAAGAAAAATACAAAGTTACTGAGAATAAAAATTTGCAACAAAGTATTGTACCTCTACCCTTGAGGTCAATGGATCTATCATCAACTTTCTTTCTTTGGGTTTTCATAACACATACTTCTGCAAGACAAAAAGAGAAGATAATGGTGCATTACCATTTAAAGTAACAAGAATTATTCTACAACACAAGAGAAAACTTAAAAAGGAGCAAAGCTCCTCATGGCCTTTAGACAAGTTAACTTGCTCATAATCAGAGGTTTACATAACCAGAGCGGGAACTGAGCGGGAACTGAACCTCAAGAGCAATGGTGGTACATTTTTAACTCTGGAAAATTGAGGCAGAGTTTCTTGAAGACAACCAAAATTCAGAATTGGAGCTGGGCCTCTCAAACTATCTCTAAGGAAATTTTTTTCCTTCAGAATAAGGGAAGATGGAAGGAATGGTAGAAGATGTTTTTACTTCACAATTATGTGGATGAAGGTGGGGGCTTATTAATCTAGTTTCAGGATGGTGGATTTTCAATTATTTTTCAATGTAGCCATGTTTAAGTACAGAAGCTATCTGCTCTAGAAAACCTTCTCGTGACATTGGCATAGAGAAGTGGTTGAAGATCAAAGAAACTGCAGAAGCTTGATAGGCTGCAGTGCATTACAGGTCTGTGCATAAGGCGCAAAAATAGGAAAATGACATAGAAGAGGAAAAACACAAACCATGTCTATTTGGAAGAGTGAAGAAGTTAGTGATGATGAAGAGCTATTTGGCCAAAGGATGTAAAAATTGATTCATAATCTTTTCCTATGGTTGCTAACTCATAAAAGGGGAATAGCTATGCTTGAATGTAACTGCAGTTTTGATAGTGAACATTTGTATTGTATTCTCATAACAATTTCTAACTGGCTGCAACAATTGGAAAATTGCAAGGCTAGGAGTAGAATGAGGATTGTTTTAAAGTACTAAAAAAAATAAAGAATACGTAGCTATGGTAGAGAAAGATATATTTCCTAAAGAATGGAAACAGTTGCATAGAGGGTCTCATACGGTAAGACATGATAGAGGCACTAACTTATGTAAGAACATTTGGAATAGTTTGGATAAGTTTTCTAAGAATTTTGTTTATAAGGCTGAAAATGGGGCAACTATGCTGTTTTTGCATGACATATAGTGTGACAATGAACATAAAAAATTGTGAACACTTTTTAAAAATCTTTATGAGGTTCATAGACTATACAAAGACAGATTTTGTTTAAAACAAACAAGTGACCGCATGAAAAAAAAAAAAAAGAAGAAAATTTACAACAAACAACTGCAGAGTGAAAGGAACACAAGTTTCTTAAGGGATATAAACCAGGGTGAAAGAATCAAAATGAATAAATAATAGAATTTACAACAAACAAATATGTTTATCTGCATACCGTCATCATCAAGATCAATGGTTGTGTTGCTAGTTACCGATTTCTGAGGAGGAATTGGTGCAACTGCCTAGTAAAAAAAAAATTATTAGATATCTAGGAGAAATCTTTATTGTTAGATAAAGACTCATGCATATACCATACTAAACCTAGTCGAGCCTTGTTTTTCATCAGGACAACACCCTAAACCTCGAAACTACTGAACTTTTTCAATATTTCCACAGCATTCTACATTTCTACCTCATTGCAGCCAAGCCTAAAAATCTAAGTAAATATTTGAGCCCAAATTATGAATCATTTTACTAATCATTCAGTTCTTATCTGGAATAGTTTTCAAAGAAAAGAGAATTTTCCTGTTAGACACCGTATATTCTTATGGAGAAAAGGGAATTTAAATTTGTTTCAGTTAACACGCATAACCTAGATGAAGTTTCTTTCCCCCACTCTCCAACCCCATCCCCTTAATCTGGCAATCTCAGGATTCAAATATCAAAACCCTTTTTTCCCACATTTTCCCACAAACCAAACAGAGACATTTTGATCAATCCCAAAATAATATGAAAATAATAAATAAATAAAAAAAAGAGAGAAAAACTTAACTACATTGAACAGAAATTACAGTACGCTATTTTCTATTTTCCGCACTTTTGTCACCCCAAAACAGAGCCACATGCCTTGCTTCAAAATTAAACCTAAACTAAATAGGAGAGGGACTCACAGCTTTGCAGGAAAGTGTACTTATCAATAGGAGAACCCGAGAGGCGGCATTCATTTTGCTTGAACTTGCTAACAAGCTTCTTGGCTTCCTTCTCCACACGCTCGTCCTCCTCGGCAAAATCAAACGCTGCGAACCGATTCTTCCGTCGACGACCCGCCGTCCGAGTCATGATCGCCTCCGCTCGCTCGCTCTAACGAACTCTAGAAAAACCACCCGACGAGGATGATTTTTGAAATCAAATTTAGCAACCCTGCGCCTGTCTATCTGTCTGTCTGTATGTGCCACCGAGGAAGAAGTGATTTCGTGCTGCTTTAAACATCCGAGTCTGCATGGAACCGGGCCAGTGGGTCCTACCTCTTCGACGTAGTTTCCGTTACTATTAGTCTATTACCGTGCTTCCCTTCTCTGTCAGTGGCCGGGTCCCCGAACCCGAACATGACGACGTGCCCTAGAATGTTCTAATTTCAGCCTTTTGCAATTAAAAAAGGTGTTTTATATAAAAGATTATATATTGAAAGTGTAAATTATTTTATGAATTTATTGAAATATTTTTAATGAATTATTTTTTTTATAAAATGAATTATACTTTTAATATATAATTTGCCATATAAAATATGAATTTCTTAGTAATTTTTTATTTAAAAAATTATTTAAATAAATTATAATTATTATTAATATTTGTTAAGAAATATGTTATACAATAAAAATAAACTATTAGATGTTTATGGGATTACCATCATCCCATAACTTAACCTTAAATTAAGATATTTTAACTAATAGCAACCGAAACTAAATTCTCCCATATATAAAAGTTAGAGCAAACATAACTTATAAAAGTGCTTTTGACTTTTTCATAAAATGTAAGCTATGTAACTTCTAAAATTAAAATAAAGCAATTATATTGTATTATTTCAAGCAAAACTAAAAGAAAAAAATTAATTAATCTTCAAAGAATGAAATTTGTGATCTAAGGTTCAAGAGCCAACCTGCCATAATTTTGGGATGTTATACAAATTAAAAAATAAATAAATATGAAAATGTAGCTAGTTTTGGTCTAGCATATAAAAAGATGAGGAAAAAAAAAAAAATCAAAGCGAAGGGGAGAATTGAGCTTCTGTGCTTATGGCTTTGCAAGTGAAGAAAAACTTTGAAAGGTGTCATTCTTCAGCAACTGCACTTGCTGCACTGAGGTCCACTGTTAGATCAAGTGTCTGCATAGGCAACCAAAGGAACAAAAAAAGAAAAAATCATACACATACCAGGCTTTGAGATTAAATTAATGTTCATTAGGTACTTGTTTGACCTTTTTGCAAGTAATTTACAAGCTATATTAAAACATTACCTAAGTTGTGTGTAAAAAAAAAATGCAAAGGAGTATTATTTACCTTTCCAGTAATCTTGGTATACATTGCGAGCACATCGTTCACTGTGTTTTCAAAGTGTGTTGTTGGATAATAACTCTATAATAAATTGAAAGACTTCCATACTCGATCTACCTTCATATTTTGCACTGACAAATAAAACGTATGTATTCCAAAGAAACAATGGAATCAGAAGTTCTACTTACAGTAGATATGTAGCAATGGTCTGTCTCACTATCATTTTTTGGGACATATTTGTCATAAGTGTCATAGAATATCTCATCTAAAGGTCGCAATAGATCAATTCCAGGCTTGAGTTTCACCTCAGGTGTGTCAGTCTTTGCTTCTATTGAAACAAAAGCAACAAAAGAGGTACTTGCAACAATAACAGTAGCAGCCATAATGATTGTTCTTGTTTATCAGCAAGAAATTCTATAAATAGCCCTTTACCATGAGCATATAGGCTAAATTGCTAATGTTAAGTAGTGAAAGCATACATGTGACAAAATACAGATATGAAGACAGCAAGTAGAAAACTATGAAGTTTAAGGACTGCATTTGCATAGGGAATATCTCTACCTAATAACAACTGCACTTGCCAAAGGAGTTATAAATTCAGCCACTTCTCAAATGAATGAACTGAAATTGGCTTAAACCAAGAAACTTACATATCTGATTTACGACCAAGTTGCTTTTGAGGTAGAATCCCTTGCACTGAGTGAGAACCATGGGTATCAGGGATAGGATTGCTCATTATACATATTGCACGAGCAACTCTTCCAATCTTTTTCACCTGTTGTGTTAAAAAAAGAAGTGACAGAAAAAAGGCACATAATTAGTACTCAAGAAGCAAGTTTTCTTTCTTTCTTTCTTTCTTTTTAATTGATTTTTGGCCAAAATCATATGGCCTTGAAGTAATTAGAGGTTACCTTATCAGGAAAATAAGAGGGATGACAAACAACCTTCTTGCATTTAGTAGTTTCTCCTTCAGAAGTCACACCAATAGCTTTCCCATCGCCATCAAACTCTACCTGCCACTCAAAGTATAATGTCATAAAAAGATTGACAAGATAAAAACTTTCCCTTAGCCAAACTTAGATAATTCAATTCAACAATGCTCTATGTTTCTTTCAATTGATGGATTAGTAAAGGAGGTAAGAGCTCTAATGTTGCAAAACTAAAGCATAGTCCAAAACGAAGAATAGGAAATGCATCTTATTGAGGCATTTTTCTAAAACGTGCACCTCATGTCTCCAGAATTAAACCCCATTCACTAATGTACTGTTGTTGCAGAAAACCTTCAAGGCCTTCCTTGCTTAGATCTTCTCATTCAATAAACCTGCAAAGCCCCGAGGGTGGCCCTCGGGGTAGACACTTCGATGCTTAAATCAGCAATAGTCTACACTTGGAGCTCTTTAAAGAGAATGGAGTGTATTTAGAAAGAAATACTGAAGGAGAAGTCTCGTACCTTTGAGGGGTGTGGGGGTATTTATAAATTATTTGGGAATGCTGGACGTGTGCTGCACTTCTATTGGTCCCTTTGGATCTATTTCAGTGTATATGAGTTCATAGTAACTCATGCATATGCTCTTTTGTATTTGGGCCTCATGGGCTTTCACTATGTTTATGGGCTAGTTATATTACTATCCTTACACTATTCCCCCTCTCGAAGTCATTCACTTGTGAATGATTAGTGTGGAAGATGAGTGTAGATGGGGGTAGTAAATATAAAAATGTATGACATAAAGTCGTGTTTTAGGCTGTAGCCGAGGTAAAAATGCATGACACGGAGTCATGTGTTTTGGGCCGTAGCTGAAGTAAAAATGCATGACACGGAGTCATGTGTTTTGGGCTGTAGCTGAGGTAAAAATGCATGACACGGAGTCATGTGTTAGGGTCGTAGCCTAAGTAAAAATGCATGATGCAAAGTCATGTGTTTTGGGCCGTAGTCGAGGTAAAAATGCATGACATGGAGTCATGTGTTATAGCCGTAGCTGAAGTAAAATTGCATGACATGGAGTCATGTGTTATGGTTGTAGCTAAGAATGATGACCTAAAAATGACGACTCGAAAGTGATGATTTGCAACCTCATGAGCCATAATAAAGGAAGTCAGACTTCTAAAAGTCATGCTCTATAGAGCTAGGATCAGAACCAGTTTTTGTAGAGTTGATTGAATGCCAATTTTGGTAGCTGGAGATGCCTACCACAGAATCCCACCTTAAGATGCCCATAAGAAAATCTTGGTTTCTCGAGTCATAGCATAAAATCAAACCCCTTTGAGGGTTGTGCTTTGCAGAGTTAAGATTGAACTGAGCTTTCATAGAACAAATGAGTTGAGAAGCTGATAGTTGATGGACGCAAGCTCTTGTAGATCGAATGGGCTAAAAAAGCCAATAGCTAATGGGCTCAAAGGCCAATAGTATTTTCTGATGAACTGATAAGTTTAAAAGCTGATAACATATTTCTGAGTCTTCCAAGCCAAGGAGTTAACAAACTCTTGAGATTTGTAAAAATTCATTTTAAACATAGAACTTGACAAGGTGCCATTAGTTTATCAATAGTCAATAATACATGAGACTATAATTTTACCATTAACAGAATTTGCAGAGAAGCACAAAAACCCGACACGGACTTTTCAGGACGGATGCAGGAAAAGTGTCAGCACCTTGTTAAGGGTGTTGACACCTTGCAGCTCATGCTACACATCTTTCAGCTCATGCTCAACCTCTGCCCCTCGTGTTCAAGTTCTACACTTCGTGCTTGGCCTCTTCAGCTCATGGCTGACCTCGACAGTAAGTGTTTGAGCTTTGCAGCTCGTGCTCAAGTTCTGCACTTCATGCTCGACCTCAGCAGTGTGTGTTTGAGCTCTACAGCTCGTGGTTGACTTCTGCAGCTCATGTTAAGCTCTGCAGTTCGTGATCGACCCCTGCACTTTGTGCTTGACCTTCGCAGCTCATGGTTGACCTCGGTAGCTCGTGTTTGAGCTCTACAGCTCGTGATTGAGTTCTGCACTTCGTGCTTGACTTCTAAAGCTCGTGGCTGACCTCGGTTGTAATTGTTTGAACTCTGCAGCTCATGCTCAAGTTCTAAACTTCATGCTTGACCTCGACAGTAAGTGTTTGAGCTCTGCAGCTCGTAGTTGACCTCGGCAGCTCTTGTTTGAGCTCTGCAATTTGTGCTCGACCTCTGAAGCTCGTGGCTGACCTTGGCTGTAAGTGTTTGAACTCTGCAGCTCGTGCTCAAGTTCTGCACTTCGTGCTCGACCTTTGCAGCTCATGGTTGACCTCAGCAACTCGTGTTTGAACTCTGCAGCTCATGGTTGACCTGGGTAGCTCATGTTTGAGCTCTACAGCTCGTGGTTGAGTTCTGCACTTCGTGCTTGACCCTGCACTTCGTGCTTCAGCATCCTGCACCTCAGACTTGTGCATTTCCCAACTCGTGATTCAGCAATTATCATCTCAGACTTTTACAGTTCGCAGTTCGTACTCAAGCAAGATGCTTGCAGCTCGTGCTCCAGCATTTCGCAGCTCATGCTCAAGCAAGATGCTTGCAGCTCCTCATTGTCGAGCTTGAGTAATGGAGCTTAGCCATAGTCAGCTCGGCCATAGCCGCTTAGTCTTCTTCTGTTAGTGGAACCATAGGCTCTTGTTTCCTAGCAACTGATTGGATTCTTACTTAAGTGACTTTAGGCTACGAAATAAAGGATGACAATATTGCTAAGGCTTCTTCCCGAATTGCCTAAAAGTACTTACTTTCTAGCCAGCTAAGTACCTTCAAAATCAATTTTCATTAATTACATATATGTAAAGTAGAAACCAAAATGCAAAGTTGTAAATGCAGAAAACCAATATCTAGAATCGAATCCTTTGGAAGGAGAACAGTAAAATCCAAAAAGCTAAAAAGAAAAAAAAAACATTATGGAGAAATTAAAATCTGGGGAAAAAAAAAAAGACTTTTGAGTAGGTTTTCAGAGGGTTGCAAAAATGTCATAGATTTTACTTCCTGAGATCTGGTGAAACTTGTGCAGATGGTTGTAGAAAATGAAAGAGATTTTATTCGAAAATGATGTAATCTTAGAAAATATGGAGTAATGGAGACAAGAATGAAGGGAGTGAAAGTAGTGGACGCTGGAAAAACAGTTGTTTGTGCAGTGAAATTAAGCAGTTGGTTTGCTGAGAAAGGCTAAATGGTGTTGGACTACCTTGCTTCTACCGAGCTGGTGCATTGCTTTGAGCTTTGCCGCTGCCGAGCTGGACTGCTTTGTTGCTGCTGAGCTGGACCGTTTGGTTGCTGCCGAGCTGGGCTACTCTGCTGCTGCCATCAAGCTTGAGCTCATATTCTCACTGAGGACGCCACGTTTGTGAGAAATTTGGTTTTTTTTTTTTTTTGAACTTTCATGGTCCCGTGCTCTTCTTTTTTTTTTTTTTCTCTTTTTGTGGATCCCACTAAGTTACCTTAAGCTTGTGTTTTGCCGACATTTTTTTGCTTCTTGAACACTCATGGCTGACATTGTACTATGCCTCGATAGTTGTGCAAAGCT